TTCTCTGCATCTTTGTCGGTTAACAAGAACCCCACACACCCCACAAAAACAGGAAATAATGAAGCCGCATGTTGCCTGGGAACCGCATGATTAATTCTGTTTTCAATAACCGGTCCTTCATCTGTTGTTCACCCAAAAGTTAATTCACCAAGTCTTTGTCGGTTAAAAAGAACCCCACACACCCCACAAAAACAGGAAATCATGGAGTTCTTGTCAAGCACACGCGAAGAAGTGACGCAATCATCACCCCCCCACCCCCCCAACCCCCCGCCGCCCACCCAGCAAAAAAACAAGCAAGCACAAAAAACACACAAAAACATGGGGTTCATGAAGGACCTAGCTTCTTGTGGCAGGCGCCTTAGCCTTCTTCCCGACACTTCCTCCAGAAATCCGGGGGCTCGGGGGCTCCGGGCGCTTCTGGTGGCAGGTCTTCGTGGACCTCTGCGAGGATTACCAGACCTACGCCTCCGAGGTCCTCAACTTTGAGCTCTACGAGGGTGGGGTCCAGGCAACCGACGCCACTCGGACCGGCCATTGTTTTGTTTTTCTTCCATGTGCTGAAACGAGCATATATTTTTTTTGTGTAAAGCATTTTTTTAAATATATATATATATATATATGTATACGCTATATATATATATATACATGTCCAGTGTCCATGGTCCCCGGCCCCCCTTCCGGGAAGGGGGAAGGGTTCAGAGGTTGTGGTAAAAACCGTGTCCCCGGGGTCTATATATGTATATATTTAAATGGAGTCTATCACTATTGGATTTTTTCCAATTTTTCCAGGGATCTTAAGCAAACGGAGGTTTTTAGGAATGGAGATAGGGTCCGGTTTTTCTGGGGACTCTCATATGGGTGGCTGCTGGTCTGTTTTAGGAATCGAACATCCCCCCCCAAAAAGTGTTTTGGATTGGTTTCTGGGGGAAAAAGACTACCCTCAACAAAAAAACACCAACATCTTGTTGCTATTGGTTACCTGACTAGAAGCTGTCCGGCTGAGACCGGCAAAACCGACCGGTTTTTGTTTCTGTGAAAATACATGGACCCCTCCATTTCAACCTGAAAAGGGTGATGCTTCCACACCCTGGACCTCAGAAAATGAGATGAATTGTGCCATGTCGTCATTTTCCTTTGACGGCTCCAAAGCGGATCCTATTTCTTGGTTGCTGTAGACCCCGCTGCAAAAAGTGAGCAACTCTGTGTGGGTTCAATACGGAACACCCTTGATTTCAACCCCAAAAGGTTAGGGGTGAAAGATTCGTTACCCTTAGTTGGTGGTTTGGATTGGTGGATTCGGAATTGAACTGCTGGTTCGTGTAGGGAGTCGATGGGTCTCCCCCCTCCTGAACCACCAAACCACCAAACCACCAATTCAAAATATCTATCAGGGGGGAAGCTGACCCCTCCTGAACCACCAAACCACCAACCCACCAATCCAACTAAGGGGCAAGCTAAAGCTTTGGGTCCCGTCGATCCCTTCTTGGATCCCAGGTGAGCCAGATCTTCGGCGCGGCCTCGCTGGTGGGCCGCCTGGATCCCCGGCCCACGGCGGTGATGCTCTGCGGCAGCTTTGACTTGTTTGTGGGCGCCTGGGCAGCGAGGAGGGGCTGGGCAGAGGAAATGGGGGACATGGACATGGGGGAGGGGTTGGGTTGCCCTTTTCTGGAATGCCGAGCTGAACCTCAGCTACTGGGCAAAGTCATGGGAATCTTTCACGCAGATTTCGTGTGTTTTGTTTTGTTGGGGGTGAGAGGGACGGAGGCTCATAGAGTGCAGGCCACTGGAACTCTTAGTGCCTGTCCTTTTTTGCGGGTCCCTTTCTTGCTTGGTGTCAAAGGGAGACCAAAAGGACGATGACCATGTTGGGGGTTCCGGAATTCCGAGAAAGCCGTGTCTACACAAGTCGGGAGAGGCATTGTTGTGGAAAATGGTTGGAAGGTTTTCACAGCTTGAAGCGCGCAGGAGGGGTGGGCATTGTGGGGGGCATGGATGTGGACAATTCGATGTTGAAGCCGCTTTAGTGTGATACGAAGGGAAATCCCTAGAATGTGATAAAGTAACAAAAAGCGGCCAACTCATTACCCACATCATTCTTTTTTTAAATATATATATATATATATGATCATGACTGAATTTGGTTTTAAAGTACACCATAACCTCATTTTGATTATCTAGTCCCTGATAGTAGTGGGACACCTACTTTGGGGACACGGAAATGCTTGTCAATCCACAATCATCATGAGAGGTAGCACGGGACGGAGGCTCTGGGTATCACTCAAACTTGGAACCAGAATTGTCACTGTGATAGATCCAAATTATGGGGCTGTTCTACCAAAACATACTTAAAGGGGGATTGGGTACATCAGGCAAGTGGATAGTAAGCCTGGTGAGATAACCCACTGACCCTGGCTGTAAGTAACCGTTCAGTGGGTTATCTCACCAGGCTTACTAATCACTCAAAAGACTCGCGGCGAATCGATCTCCCCACCAAGCAGACATTTGATTCTTTCTGCGGGAAGGCTCCTTCGAATAGATGCTTTTGCTTACGGCATGGTCTTTGGTCCTGAGTTTGAGAATCCGAGTTGTTCATCGTCTTGCCGCCTGGCTCTCTTCATTCGATCAGCATGTTCAATGATTCAAGCATGGCCCGGACCCAGTTTGAGCAGCTCGATAGTAGGCCGAAAGCGACTTCTGTCATACAGCTAGAAAGCGTTTCGGACAAACCGGTTTATCCTCACCCCCTTTAAAATGAAATTGGGGGAGGGGGAATTTCCCCTGGAAATGAATTTCTGGTAACCAATTTTCCCTTTGATCGGGAGTAGATCAATGGACTTGGGGGCCCACCCCCCTCCCCCCGACAGCAGGGGAGAACGGTCATCTCGTGCAGCAGCTGGGGAGTCAATCCATTTGCTGGGGGTTGGTTTCTTGTCCATTCCTTTCACCCATCGTTCTTTTCAAAACCGAGCGCCTTTTCCCCAGGGTGTCCGTGGGTTTTCCAGAAAGAAGGATCCATGGACAGAATGGGGAAGATTCCCCTAGAGTGTTAGCTGATCTAACTTTGCAACCGAATCCGTTTGCTCTTGGGACAGTGGATGGGAGTTTAGTGCTTGGCTTCCTTCGCACTGCCACATGAGAAAAGCACATATCTCACCCGCGCTCAGCTACAACTTTGAGAATCCAAATCCAAGGGTTCCCCCTATTGGTCCGTTGCTACTAGATGCATCTCATGTCAGTGTCCTGGCCGTATGCAGGGAGTGCAGTGGCCATCCAGAGACACCAATAGGTGTCCTTTTTAGGTTAGTTTGCTTCGAAATAGATGGCACTGGTTTAGATTGGCTGTATTTCATTCACCAGGGCCATCTATTTACTAAAAGGAGACCAAATATTGGCAACCCTTTCTCTTTGTCCATTTGTCTTCTATCCTGCGTGCCTGCTTGCCTGCCTGCTTGCTTGCCTTCTGCCTGCCCGTCCTTCTGACTCTCCTATGTCTATCTCCGTGTCTGGTCTGTCTCCGTTTCTGCTTCTGTCTGTCTGCCTGTCCGTCCATCTGTCTGTGTGTCTGTGTGTCCGTCTGTGTGTTCGCGTGTCTGCGTGTTTGCAGTGTGCATGTTTTGTTTCCTGTAGGTTTGTTGGCTTGATTGCTTTGCTTTGTTTTGCCTTGCCTTGCCTTGCCTTGCCTTGCTTGTTTATTTGTTTGTTTGTTTGTTTGTTTGCTCCCGAGTGAAATCTGTATCGCAGGGTCAATGCGCACACTACTTGAGAATTGTCTACCTCTCTGATAAAACGATTGTTTGTTTTGGGCCTTTGGATTTCCACGAGGAGTTGGAAGGATCATGTGTAATCATTGTCAAATCAGAGTCAATTCTTGGAGCCTATTTGAAGAGTATACCTGTCATGGGCATTAACTCGGGAGTTTTTTCCTATGCCCCAATATTTCGTCAATAGGCAGCTTTTAAAGATTTCACCCCAGGTGGGATTTGTGCATCAGCTAAGCAATGTTGAATTACTGTCCTCTGATTTGGGATTCCCGCAGGTAGTGTGCGTTCAAGCGAACATTTGGGGTGTGTAAAAAAGCAACAACAACGGCATTTCACGGGTAAGGTTTAGGGATGTCGCTTTGGACCAAGTAAGGACCTTTCTTGCTCACTCCCTGAGTTGATGTACTTTAAGCTTTCTGGGAAGACCATTTTGGTGGCTTGCACAAACAGTTTGGTGGCTTTGTTTGGCCTCGATCAGAAGTGAGAATTTGTGACAGGACATTCTTTGCATGTCTGAGCCCTCCTTTCGCGCCAAGGTTTCGTTGGGTCGAACCGGGTGCTAGACGTTCGGCACCCCTACGCGGGGAGCTCAGATTGTTTTTTTGAGCCGAGAGCTGGCGGGGGGAAACCAACGGCCGGGAAGGAACCAATGAAACGAATCTGAAAGCTGGGGCTCATTTAACAGGGCTCCTTAAAAGATCTCCATTTTGCCACCGTTTGAAACATGTTGCTTTTTCAACACCAGAATAAAGTTGGAAACCACCATGTACAAGTTGCAATGTTCAGGTGTTTTTCATGTAAGGATCCCTGTTTTTTCGGAGCCTTGGGGACGCCTCAAAAGGAGCCTTGGGGACGAGACAGCCGCGTGACGGAGAATTCTCTGACCCGATCTCGGGGAGGTTCAGGGGACTGGTTTGCATGGCCGTTCTCGCCTGACACTTTGGCCTATGGGATCACGCCCCCTCCCCTAACCTCCCCGTCTCCCAAACACCGAAGGCCTCTCCAGATTTGTGGGTTGACGTGAACAGGGCGCTGAGGTCATAACTTGCCTGCCTTTTGGCAATCTCCTCGAGCTTGTCACTTCAGGCGTCGAGTCAGGGGTGCCGCTAAAGTTTGGCCGATTCGAAAAGCATCAGACTGCATATCCCTGGGTCCTGATCCAAAAGCACATTGTCTCATTGATCTGGGCTTTCGGCTCTTGGGAAGCTCGCTTCGGCTTCTGAAACGAGCCCGGTGTTTTTGTTCCCCCCCCTTTTTTTCTCGCTCCCTTGATTTTACCAGAGGATTCCGAAAAAAAATCGGTGGGAAAATTGCTGCAACTTGCCCAGAATCATGGAGGAGTCTTCGTTTTCGGGGGCCACCGCCTGCCACCGCCTTTTTTGGTCCTTGTTAGTTCGCCTCAGAGTCAAGGGGTCTCAAGGGTAGGGGTCTCCTTTGGTGGTAGGTGTCCTTTTGGGCTTCCCTTCTTTCCCAAAACAGGGTTAAGACGGTAAGAACTGGCCATATGGCTAGTTTGAATGGGTGACCCCCTCCAGAATGGCTGGTGGATGAATCCTATTGTAAATGATGTCCACCAGAGGCCCCTTCCCCCCTAGTTTGTCAGCAATCTTGACCAAACAGCCCGGAACCGCAATCCATCCGCCACCATCCGCTCACAGGTGTCCCTTTTGGTTGTGGTAGAAAATAGATGGTGATGCCTTCGTTGTTTTATCTACCAGGGCCATCCGAAAATTAGCCCAGCATTGCAACCCAATAGCAACATGGCCCGGTTCATGTGTTTCTCTCGCCTCAGTATCTGGCCGAATTCGGGATAGAATGGCTGATGAGTTGGCTATCGGTTGAGCATCGGTTTGGGTCTTGATTGCCCTACGAATTTCCGACTCCGCTATCTTGGTTTGCGACAACAACTTGGACCTCATACGTGTCTTCACGGCTTCTACAGTATCTTTTGCTTTCTCTCCAGGATCCGTTTGCAGTGTTCCGGGCCTGCAAAGTAAATTAAGGGGGTCCTTACACAACCAAAGGCATTGGGTTTAGTTGTTCGACCCATTTTAACGATGGCTTCTTGTGCTGAAAGTCAACCAAGCCCGGCACAAGGATTTTGCAGGAGACACCCAATGGCTCCTGACTGCGTAGTGTGTTCTAACTCGTTTGAGCCAGGTCACTTGCTTTTGGTTCCGCCTAGCACATTTCCAACCGAAAACCAGAATCACCTACAAGGTAGAGCGTGAAGTCTCTAGCATCAGAGATTTGAAAGATAAGCACAACTACACAGAAGATTCCCGAAGACTACAAGAATACATGTACACCTCGCCGACACTTGTAACGCAATCATCGCGCCGGCAGCATCATGATCATGCCAGCAGTGATGATCATTGTCGTTCCAGAATGTGCGATCACGGTCATGACGGCATCATAATAACGTTACCGTTAGCATCATGATGCCGGCAGAAGTACGATCCTGCCGGCATGACCATGCATGCAGCACCAAAACCGCGCCAGCAACACAATAAGTGGCGGTTAAAATGCGACCACGCTCACGACTGCAATTTTAGCATCATGATACTGCCAGAAGCATGATCCTGCCGGCAGCATCAGTATCATGCATGCAGAATCATGACCACGTCTGCAGCATCATGATCACTCAAGCACGCGATGATCGTGGTTGTTCCAGAGTTTGAAATCAGGTTCACGACGGCATTGGAAACACATCAGCATCATGATACTGGCAGAATCATGACCAGGTAGGCATCTTCATGATCGCGCTGGTAGTCAAGTAGGCAGCTGCATGATCACGCTGGCAGCATCATGGTCGGCCGGAATCTGTGTTTTTCCCGAAAGCGTAGCAATTCCAAATATGTTTACATTCATGGTGTAAAGGCTTCTTTATTTGAGTCTGTCACCACCCGCATACTTTTTTGGCAGTTTTGTCAAAATCGTTGATGGCGACCGCCAATTGGCAGTGCCTATCCGGCGGGTCGGCGCAGCAGCGTGACTCATCGGCGTTTCGCTCACCCCATCCCAAGCAACTTGGCCAGTCTGCGGATGGTTCTGTGGAAACTCTGGCGCGGATCGCGCAAGTCAAGTTGCGCTAACAAGTTACACTAGAGATTCACGAGCAAGTTTCATAAGAGATTGCTTCACCAACTTATGCGAAATGTTTTCTGCCGTGTTTGGCTAGAGAAGAAGTCCAGTGAATTCGCGCGCGAAAGTGAGAAAGGAAAGCTCAACGAGTGTAAATGAGTCTTTGAAGGAGGCGGGCCTGCACCAACTCGTCAACCGGGAAGTCGACCCTCTGGGGGGATTGCCGTGGTCAATGGCTGATATTTTTGCTTTTCACATCTGCGCGCTCCATGGCACAAACTGAGGACATTCGCCCCTTTTTGCGAAAACCGCCCAAAGGCTCCGAGTTGGTCTAGAAATCAGTCAATTGATTTCAAAAAACATAAAAGCGACACAATGACAACAACCAACCGACAAGTCAATAGAATATCCAAGCAAATATGTCAATCTCCAACCTCGGTGTGGACCAGCCAATGTGGCCCTTCACACGCGCATATATACATACGCAGCCAACTGAAAGCAGCCTTTTCCAGCCCGGGCAGCACTTTTGTCACACATCAGTCCATATCCAAGTTGAGCTCACCTGGCAGGGTTGTCCTTCACCAATCCATATCCAAATTGATCTCAGCTTTCAAGAGCGTGTGGAAGGACAGCGCAAGTTTGTCCAGCACTTTGGCAGGAAGTTTTCATGCAGGTGTCCCCCGAGACTCGAAAGACTCAGGGCTAGGTGCTGGCACTGTGATGAGACATGTGCACATGGGATTGACCACCTGTACTGTTCAGCAAGGCTACCTTGCATATGTTCCGAACCCAAAGTTCTTGCCACTCAGATCATCAAGTTCCATGCCATTGAAGCCATTCATCCTTGGAGGTGTGGCAGCCCCTGAGCTGTAGCCCCTCTGTTCTGCCATGCCCACCAATTCTTTCCAGGGCTTGGAGATGGCGATCTTCTTGCCACTGCGGTCTTGAAGGAACAAAACTTTCCTGGCCGCCTGTCCCTTGCGTGACCCCCTGTGGTCCCCATCAGCATTGGCAGAAATCCTGGACTTCTCAAATTTCTGCCAAAGAAGTTGCAGCTCTTGAGGGGAAAAGGGCCTTGTCGAGTTCATTTACTTTTTTGGGGCCTGAGCTCTCTTTGTCCAAGAGTGCCTGGTGAGTAGCGGTGTTCCTTTTTCCTTGGTTTCAGGCTTCTTTGTTGGCTCCTCATTTTGTGGATCCTCTTCATCTTCTTGCCTTGGGCTTGTCTGTTTTTCAATCATGTCTCCTTGCCTTCATTCCTTTTTGATTTTGCCATTGCCAGAACATGTGGCTTCAATCTTACTCGCTAGACAATTCTGTTAGGACCCAAACATGCAACATCATGGGTTATTCTGGGGTCTTTGTGGCTTCATGAGTCTTCGCGTGTCTTCATGTGAATTTTGGCTGCTTTAGGGAATTGTGGGTCTCATCTTTTTTTGCGGCTATTTAGGCGGCTGAAATAGACTTGAGATGGCCATCCAGCCATCAAAACTCTTGTGGCTAGCCCGGCCAAGTTGCTTGAGACTTCCATGGCTCTGCCAACTCGCCGGCTCCTCCCTGACTATTTAGCCACCTATCAAAAGCCTTTGGCTCAGCCAGCGCACTTGTTCTATCGTTTTCCAACACACATCAATTTTTCTACTGAATGAGCACTGTTGCAATACCTGCGCTGTGGCTGGGCTGCAGGTGGGGCAGCGGCCTAGTGTTGGTTCCCATTCACTGTGGCTTCTCATCTCATGGTGCGAGCTGCTTGAGAAGTACTTTAGCGCATGTCGGGAATGCTGGAACATGTCACACGTGGCAGCATCACCCCCCCGCCCCCCCCCCCCCCAGCCCGATCCAAGAAGCATTGCAAGCGCTCTCCGACTCAGCGCCGGTTTTCCTGAACTCCACATAGTTCTCATTGTTGTGAGTCTCTATTTGCTTGTACTGGTGAAAGGCAAATGCTCTGTGGCTTGCATGGCATAGGCTGCTTCAGTGCTACTCAATGCAGAAACCCTCCATGAACGTACTGCGGTTCCTGTTTAGGCAGTCCAAGGTTGACTCCTTCCCTCCTGCGAATGGAACATCAGGCATGGATGTCTGTGTCCTTGGCTGCTTGTGGCTTTTGAGCTGTCCCTCTTTAGGTTCCTCTCCTTCTGCTGTCTGCGGTCTACCTCCATCGTGTTCTTGGGCGTTGTCCTACCCTCCGCTCTTGTTCTTCATCACTGCCCCCCATTCCGTCGGGTTCTTCCTGCATCTTGATCGGCAAGGTGTCTCCGCTGCGCAGGTGCAAGCGCGCCGCTCGCGGCTATCTGGCCAGACACTCAAAACAAACACAGAGACAGGCGCAACATGGCAGCAAACCCACGCAAAAGCCAAGACACATCAATGCAACATGGTGATGTAGCCAGGCGCATGCACTTTCATGGGTGTCCAGCCACCGGCTTCTACCGTTTCCCTGGCTATTCATGTGATGCCGAGAAGTGGGCGGAAAGTTCGTTTGGCAGCTCTGGCTTGAACATCGCACATGTTCAGTGCCGGTGCAAACTTGTTACTCCCGGGCCTAGAGATAGACACCCAACAGCTGGTTGCCATTGACCATCTTCAAACAAAGCACCTGACAGCACCCCCCAACGATTGTGCTTTACAGTACTTGAAGATTCTGGACATGGTTGACAAAAACCAAAAAGGGGGACAACAAAAGGGGGAGCGTGGTGGCACGGATCGATCCGCCCTTTCTTTGTGCTCTTTTTTTTTGTCTGCTTTTGTGTGGCTTTCCGGCTTTTCTCCCGGTGCTCCGGCCGTCGCGTGCGTGCGCCAGAAGGCCGCCTGGTTCGGTGTTCGGGAAATTTTCCGCTGGCTTTCCATTTCTCCCGGGCCCTCGGAGTCGGCAGGGCTGCAGGAGGGCTTCCGGCTGCTGGAGCCGCAGCCCTGGCCTTCCACGGCATTCCTCCGCGCCTTCGACGAGGAGAACGAGGGCCCCGCGGTCACCGCCCAGGCTGGGCCTTCGGATGGGATCGGATCGAGCGGAAAGGGGGGGTGGGGGGTGGGGGGTGGGGGGCGGCGGTGTAGCCGAGAGCGCGGCTTATGTGGCGGTCTGCTTGGTTTTTGGTTTGGGCCGTTTGTGAGGGAAGAAGGCTCCGAGAAAAACGACTGGCGGTCGTGGTTGAAGCTGGGTGTGAATACGACTTGGGTTTGGACTGTTGTCGAGAAGAGAAAGTTCAGTCAACCCACTCAGGAAGTTAGGTTTCTATCCCAAACTGGGTCCCAGTACACAAACGGCGGAACCCCCGCTACACATCTCGAGGATAGACAAAACCCAATCTGGGCAGAATGAAGCTCTTGGGCTAAAGCGTTAACCGTAGGTGGTCGCTTGTCTTGACTCTTAATAAGTATCCACTTGGGCCACCATTTTGGCTCAAGTGGACCCTGTGTTCTTCTGTCTTGTGATCTGAAATCTTTCTTTCCCCTACTCTCAAAGCCATGTACGCCCCCGCCTACGCTGGTGCCGCGGTAGCAGAGGCCAAGGCTAAGGCAAAGGCCTCCATGGCAAAGTACCTGGCGAGCCTAGTGAAGAGGGAGGAAGAAGGATGGACCGTTTTGGCTGCTGAGGTCCCTCAGGCACCTGACGAGCGCTTTTTCTCCAGCGCAGATGAGCTGGAGCAGGCCCCCCTCATCCCGGCCAAGCGCAAGGCAGAGGATGAGCCGATGGAAGATGCAGCCCCTGGGGTGGCGCAGGTGCCGAAGGCCCTGACACGCCCCCCAGGGGCGTTCCTGGAGCTCCTGAACCCGCCGGAGGAGGACGTGCCCATGGAGGAGCTCCTGGCAAAGGACGAGAAGGAGCTGCCGATGCCCAGGTCCCCCTCGGCTGCAGCCCGCTCGGAGGAGGCCCGCCTGGATGCCCGGGCAGACGCCAAGTGGCAGAGGCGCCGGGAGCTGATGGCGAAGGTCAAGGAGCAGGCGTCCTCGGAGGAGGATGAGAACCCCGCAGCCCCCCCGCCGGGGGGGAGCGTGTTCACCAAGGCCCTCAAGGTCTCGGAGGGCCTCTACCAGTTCAGCGACGACCAGATGGCGGGCGACTTCCCTTGCTTCGATGCGACCACAGCCACTAGGCTCCGCCGATTGCAGGTCAAGGACGTCCAGCGGCTCCTGCGAGGCTTTGAGGGCCCCCAGCTCAAGCAGGGGGGCCTGGAGCGCGTTGTGGAGGCCTTCTACATCGCCAAGATGAAGTATGAGCACGAGGCCCGGCTCAGCACCCCGGGGCAGCAGGTTGGCAAGCGCGCTGGCTTGGGGTATGGGGGCTTGGAGAACCGCCCCCTGGGCAAGGTGCCCACATCCTGGATCTGCCCCTGCTGCACCATGCCCTGGGTGAAGAAGGGCGCCACGAAGTGCATGGGGTGCGGCAAGAAGACGGAGCCCATCGACATGGCGACCAACTCGGCCACCCTGGAGATAGCGGGCACGCATTGGCAGTTGACGGTGGATGACCAGGGCAATGCGGTCTGGACGGCGGCCCGGTCCGCAGGTGCCGAGGGCCCTGACACGGACCGGGCCCGCGACCTCAAGCTCAGTGCCTCGGTGGACGTCAGCGAGCTGGCCACCGACCCGATGGCCTGCGAGAACCCGGACCAGGCCAGCTTCTCGGACTTCGCTTCTCAGGAACTGCCCCATGGAGCTGGACGAGGAGTTTCTGACGGCCCCACCGGGGGAGAGGCCCCCATTGCCAGGCGACAAGGAAGAGGGCCAGGAATGCAGAGCCTTCCACCCGTCTGCGGTGAAGGCCTTCAAGATTCAGACCCGGCTCAACGCCACCACCATCGCCCAGGAGGAGGCCAAGAAGGCGGACCAGGTGGAAGCGGTGGAGCGCTCAGCGGCGATCCTCCACGAACTCCAGGGGAGGGCCATTGACGGAGGAGGTGATGGGGGCCTGCTCCTGAAGAACCTGGACTTGGACCTCTTCCGTGAGAAGCTGCTGGACAAGCTGGGTGCGGACTGGGGGAGACCCACACCGGAGCTCCTCCAGGCCCAGACCACTGCGGAGGAGGCAAAAGCGAAACACCAAGCCAGACAGGCGAAGGGCTCCCTCGAAACCAGAATGCTCGAGCCCATCGCGCCTCCCTTCAGTGCGTGGCCTAGCGAGGTCCGGGTCGCCATTGAGACTGGGGTCTTCGAGCCGACAACGGCATGGAGGGACTTCAGTATGGACGACCTCACGTCTCTCACGGACTCCTACCTTGAGGCCAAGGCGGTCATCTCGCTGGGTAGGAATCCCTTCCCGGCAGCCCTCCTGTCAGATATGCCGGACCTGACAGGGATCCCCATGCCAAAGGCGGGGGGCTCTGGTGCGGTGCGCCCAGGTGCCAAGGGCTCTGACAGGCCGCCCACCATCCCCCCAGCCTCGGGCTCTGGCGCGATGAGCTCAGGTGCCGAGGGCCCTGACAAGCCGTCCGCCACCCCGGTGGGCCGGGACACCAAGGACCCGGAGGTGCAGCTCTCGGTCCTGCGCTGGATGATGAGCAAACGGGTCGGAGAGGTCCGCATCTTTGCGGGCCGCTGGGTCCGACGACCGGGCCCGGTGCACGTCCCGGATTGGGCGAGAAACCTCACCAAGGTGAATCCGGAGGCGTTGGAGAGGGGCACGCATCCCAGGAACCACCAGGTGGGTGGACTCCCCTGGGCCAGGTACTCCGTTGAGGAGTTGCACCAGCAGGCGAAGGCGGGGGACCGACCCTACCCTGGGGACCTGCGATCCATCTTTTGGGCTGCCCCCCACGATCCGGATGAGGACTTCCATTGGGCGCGCCAGATCTCGTCCTGGACACTCCCAGGCCTGCTGGGGATGTTTGGGCACAGCTTCACCCTGCGCCAGCTCTGGGGAGTCTGGGAGTCTCTGCCACTGCTGCAGGGCCCTAGGCAGCGGGGCCCGAGAAACAAGGCCCAGAATCAGACCCGCCTGGAGGACTGGGAGACCCTGAAAGAGGACGCGCGGTGCTTCCTGAAGGAGGAGGGCCTTCCGTTTCCGCAGACAGGACCGGAGTGGCGATTGGTCTACCGGGCCATGGGCAAGGTCCGCGCGGCCCGGGCCTTCCTCACGGACACCCCGGCGGAGGTGATGCAGCTCCCGGTCCAGGACGTGGCGGACTCCAAGGAGCAGATGATCCTGCGGGCGGTATGCGATGAGCGCATCTTGGTCCCGGTGGAGAGCCTCCAGCAGGTTCTAGAGGTGTACAAGGCCCTCATGGACCGCATTGGAGGCCCGGGGGCCCTGGCGGAGGTGAAGGTCAACTGGCGCTGCAACACGAAGCAGTGGTGGGTCGGCGCAGTCCCCGACTCAGTGGCCCCCTCCATCTACCGCAAGCTCGGCTACACCGACGACATGATCAAGCTGATGGGCCTGGACCCCTCCGCCCCTGGGTGCAGGACAGGTGCCGATGGCCCTGACATCCGCCCCAGGGGAGGCGAGGGCTGAGGGGATCGTTTACCCCCCCATCACGGAGGACAACGTCCACAGCGTGGTGGGCAAGGTCTACCGGAAAAAGAACTATCCGGTGGAGACGAAGCATGTCTTTTGGGCGCACATGGAGTGTGGCCTGGTCCTGAGCTCCGTCACCCCGTGGGAGCTCATCCCGAAGACCAAAGGGGAGACCCGGGGGGGCTATATGTGCAAGTACTGCAAGGGGTACTGGCCGTGCCGGGGGAGGGGGCACCCGCCTCCTCCAGATCCGGGCTGGCAAGGCCATCTTGCAACTGGTGCTGGACGAGCCGCCGGAGGGCCTCTACAACCGTTGGGTGAAAGAACGGCTGGAGTACTACCGCCGGGTGGAGCCCTCGGCCCCGTTGCGAGACGTCTCCATTGTGGACCAGAAGGTGCCCAGGTTTAGATTCAGCCAGGCCACCCAGACAGGCCACGTCTCCAATGCCATTTGGGAGCTGATCCTGCGGAATCCGGAGGCTGCTGCGCTCAAGCGCATCGATGACCTCGCGAAGGGGGCCGCGTGACGATGCGGGACAACGCCACCATCCGGCACACCATCTAGGACCACGGCCATCCGGAACGGATGCGCAACGCACCCCGGGGGGGGGACAGCTGCCGAGGGCGCTGATATCCCCCCCCAGGGAACATCGTAGGCCCCGACTTGCACCAAGCGAGAAAAATTGGCGCGGCTTGGGCTGATCCGGGATGCGCCTTGGTTCCCCTCTCTTGTTTGGTTTCCCCTTTTCGGGGCGGCTCCCTGGGTCCCCCCCTTCTTTTCCCCCGTTTCCTCCGTTTCGGGGTTGGCTTTCCGGGGTTTCGGGGGGCCCCCCTGTTGTTTGGTTGGGGTTTGCACCTAGGGACTAGGCCCCCGGCTCGAGTGGATCTTGATGATGTGGAGGCCCCGCCTCCCTTCCCCGTTTGGGACGACCTTCCTAGGGGTGCCAACCGCGCTCCAGTTGATTTTGCATGACCTTGGATTTGCACCAGTGCAGTCGGACAGGGAAATCCTCGTGGCGTGCTGCCTGGAATGGGTCAAAAAGGACAAGGTCGCCAACCTGGATGCGGTGGTCTTTGACCCGCGGCCGTGGACACGGATCGTGGGGCTGGCACCGGACGGCAACCACGTCCTGGTGGCCTCGGACACCTACAACTTGATCCTCGCGAGGATACTCGGCTCCCAACCACAACCGCTGGAGGAGGCGGATTTGGAGCTCGCTACGAAGACCCTGCAACAACTTCTGTTCCGTGCGGCAGGCGCCAGGCAATCGCACACCTATTCTCCGCTGGAAATGGAACAGGCCATCCGGGACCGCGAAGAGTGGATCCTTTCCGGATCGATTGAGGCCCCGGACGTCCTGGCAGTGGCAAACAAGTGGCGGCATTGGAAACCAGGGAAGATCAAAACCCAGTTGCCGACATCTCAGAGAGCGCTGGAACAACACCTGAGGGCCAGGTGGTTGGAGCGCCTCCTGGGATACTTCATCCCCTTCCGGCACCAGATCCCCTACATGCACCAGGTGATG